GTTGACACGGCACCGCCTTTTGCTCTAGGCTGGCGCTCACCCGTGTCTCTCTCGATATCAGCCGTCCAGCTATTAATATGACAATCGGTTGTCATCGGTCGTCACCCCGCCCTTGACACTGAGATAAGGCCGCCGCCGAATATGGATTACCGATATTGCTTTCTGTTTCGTTTTCGGCGTACACCTGAGGTGGTGTATTTTACTGTTGTTCTTTTGTTTTTCTTTTCGTTTTGCTTCGACGTACCTAGTTCCAACGAACACTACTACAGCTGATAGATATATATATGTATATATGTATATATATTTGTAATTAAGAGTGCGCATCCTTTGGATTACGTAACAACTGAAGTGTGGTATTTTCTGTTGTTCTTTTGTTTTCTTTTCGTTTGCTTCGACGTACCTAGTTCCAACGAACACGACTACGACGCATAGATAGATTTAAATATATATATATATATATAGGTGTAATAAATTGTGCGCCCTATTTGGATTACGCAATACTGTAAAATATAACTATTGAATATAATCAACAATTAAAGTTCCAAATTTTATTTTGCAATTATTTAGTATTGAAACACAAAAGTCTTTAATAAATATCTTGGTACATATATCGATAGCTAGTGGAGGCTCGTGGGTGCTAGAGATGGGGTNTAGCTAGTGGAGGCTCGTGGGTGCTATAGATGAGGGTGGACTTAAAATATAATACCGCTAGTCATAGGTATAAAGAGGCTTACACACTAGGACCGATCGCGCAGGTTTGATTTTGGGCGATCGGACGTGACCGATCGCTAAAATTAAACAATACAAATCGCATGTTATCATTCACACGGGGCGATTAAATGCCACGATTTCCGGGCACGTGAAGGTTCATTCAAACTATTTTCACTTACAAAAACCAAACACAGGGTCTTCATTTACTAGATATTAATTTGAAAATTTATACTAAAATTTACTATACAATTTTCTTTCTTTTTTTTTTTACCTCAATGTAACTGTGAGTCGCTCTTCTGGTGGTATTGATAATCGTAAACAAGTATCCTCTTTTTGAAATTTTGATCCAACTAATATAATCTTTAAATTTTAAATAATTCATATTTTTTTTTTAAATTTAATATTATATGAGATATAATATGATATATTATATGAGATTTTATTTAATTATTTCATCCATTACATTACTTAAAATACTTAACAATGTGGTAAACTGGGTTTTCTACGTCCAATTTGCCCACGCCGATGAGTGTAATCGAGAAGAGTCAAAATAATAACTATAATGTAACATTCATCGATTGTACACTGACCACCGAGTGAGTGGTCAGGTCCCTTTTTATTAGAAATAATAATCAATTAACAATACAATTAACAATGTTTCTAGTGTTATACTTTCTAATACAATTAATAATAATCTATTATTTACTTTTACTTTCTAATAATACAAATTCCTTAAAACTAATATATACATATAGTTATGGATTCATGACAACAAAATATTTTAAAATCTTTTTTAAAACACATATTTTTTTATATTGATCTAGACTAAAGTTTATAGTTTTTGGTCAAACTCAAAAAACTTAAAGTTTTAACTTAAAATCTACTTGAAATTCTTTATTCAGCTATATGGTCCAGTGGGATAACTGTGAATAGGGATCATTGTAAAAAAGACTGGCGTTTTGAACCAAATTAACAAACATAAATTTGAATATAAATATTTAAGTAAACAATTTTTCTTTCATAAATTATATTGGTAAAATTATTTTCGAGTTTTTTAAATGTCTTACAAACTTTTCCTGATTAATTGGGTTTAATGTAAATTCCTTTAAAATAAAAATATAAAATTAAATTTTTTTATAAAATTCAATTTCCTAGAAATATAATTTGTTAATTATGTTTAATGTTCGTCAGTCTTTTTGCAATGTTTACAAATACTCCATTTATCATAAAAAAATTATAATTTATAAATGTGTGTTTTAGTGTTTTATAATCATCCACGAAATACTTAAATTTCCTTTTTATGGCAAATATATATATTATATATATATTTAGGTCTAGTAGTAAAATTAAAATAAAATGTTTTTTTTTTTTTATAAAACAAACAAAAACTATTTTTGAATATATTTTGTTCTGTACGTGTAAGATAATAACTAAAAAACTTAAAAATTGAACAAACTAGGGTTGAATTATATTATTGATTTAAATTAATGTTTGTAAAGTAATGAATTAAAAATCTTTCTAGCATACAAAGTTTAATTTTATTATTACACAATTGTACACGCAGTGGTGTTTTTGGGGGTATTTGCGGTATACTTATTAACAATTGTTTTAATAAACGTATACCTTAGAAAAATAATACATATATAATATTTATATTGTAAAGTATAAGGTTAAAACTAATAATACACCCTAAAATAAAAGAATGGATTTAATGAAAAGACCATTTCAAATGCATGTCAGTATTAGTCGTGATGTACTAAGTACTCAGTCTTGAGGGAATGTATAAAAGAAATTGTTTATTTCCCTCCACAAAAAATTGTATTTTCACAGATTATTATTATTATATGAAGTAATCCTCCCTCATACTGTCGCTCTTGAATATAAATCTGCATTGTTCAAATCAATGAATGTTTTTTTATGTTACAGCTAATAATTTTAAAATACAGTAAATAATTCAACTTACCAATTCATCAAACGAGCGTATAGACATACGGTAGTACCTGAAGAATTCTTCGGGATAACTCCTCAAAGTTAAAAACCCAGCACTGGTGGGTCGCGGCACAGTGGTGACGTGGC